CCACCCTAGTAGCGATGACCTCCAACCTAGTAGCGATGGCCTCGAACCTAATAACTATGCTTTTCTCAAACTCTCCTTTGCAGTCCTTCTTGCTGATCAATTCCCTCGAGCAGTTGGGCTGGAATCATTGGCTCCTGCCCTGGCGCCAACACTTCGCATGGTCCGGTGATTTTCTTGCTGTCAAGGCCTTTGCTGCTTGCGGGTGACTTCAATTCCACTCCTGATTCAGCGGCGAGGGACCTATTGAACAACTTGACCTTGAAAAATACCGCAAGGTGTACGGTATCTGTTCCTTTTTCGTTAGGGTTGCAAGAGTTTAGCAGGCCTTCGGGCCTTGTTTCGGCAAAAGATGGAGAGGTCTACGAATACCTCAAACAGGGCACGATCAATGGGGCTCACGAGGACTACCTGCGTTCAAGGTACCAAGGGGCCTTTAAAGGGCGAGTCCGGTGGGCGTCCGTGTTCTGAAAGAATTGACGTCCGTTCCACTTTCCGGGTCCGGGAGGATCTTCGATATGATCCATCAGGATTGCTCAGCAGGTGCGCGCAAGCGATCGGGTTTGCTTTCAATCTGTCTTTTATAGCCATTTAACCACTTATTGTTGCATTTGCAGGTGTGCCTCCAACCTGCCAAAGAAAAACCCTGTAACCCCTTCTGCTTGCTTTGAGGTTCAGAATGAACATGCATCACAACCTAGAATTGTCTACTGCCTATGCCGCTTGCACTGGCCAAGGGCCCAGCGATTCAGTAGCATGTTTAGAGCTTGGTGATCCAGCAATTCACCCTCTCAGGTCATGAGGCAGAATTCACGAACTACACGGAGGATCCAGCTGGTCTTGTTTTGTTGGCCGTTGAATCCCAGCTGGTCTTGATCTGTGCTGATTGTCGCACAGAACGACATGAAGAAAAACTGTGAGTGTCCCACAGGACTTCAAGGGCACCCTTGACTATATTTGGTTCTCACCACAGGCCCGCGCAAGCTGCCGCTTCGCCATCACCGCTGATCTCGACCGTCACCGGGTCGAGATCAGGTGCTCGAGGTCGTGGCCATTACACAGGTGGATGAAGAATGCGAGCTGAGAAAGGACAGACAGCTGCGTCGCAGTAGAGGTATTCAGAGGAACTCTTGGACTCAAAGATCACTTTTTTCAAGGGCTTGAACAAGGTTGTATTCAATGACATGATTTGGATTTGTTGGACTACAGTCTGACTATATACAGAGCTTTCAAGTACATATTGATATATTCTTCCAGATTGTCCGATTATAGAGGCAAGACTCTTGTCTCAAAGCTGCACAATGCAGGAACAGGCACTCCCTTCAAGCACCTGCCCATCAGATCACGTCTTGAGCCTACCACCTTGTCACCTTGTTGTTTGTTTATTGTTCAAAGCTGACATCAGAATCAGACAGTTCTTTTCTCCTTCTGTTTGAGTGCAAACAAGATGAGGTCTCACTCGTGGCTTCGTTCACGTTCAAAGAGGAACCAGAACAAAAGGAGCGGCACTTGGCTTTCCAAGTTTAGACTACAGACCCAGACGAGGACAGCCGTTGGATGGCGTGCGCCATGTTGTGTTTCGTTGTAGTTCAGCGGTGGAGCACGGGAGGCCGGCAGATTTTGGCAGCCAGATTATGGCCGCTGTCCAGAACCTTGGGAGTATGGCATGTGCTAAGCCATGAGGCAACATCGCAAATCAGTGAGATTGACCCAAGTGATCAAATGCGTGCGAATGCGTGATCTGGTTTCACTGTTCTATTCCACTGTGCGGTAGAGGGAAGCTTGAGTTGTTTGGGTAGCAGTGCTTTCAGAGCGATGTTTTGGGTGTCCCTGTGCAGTTTATTTGTTATGGATATGGACCAGAGCGTTTGCCCACCATGTCGATATTCTGTGTTTGCAGGCACGTTGGCTAGAGAGTTACACGAAGAAAGGAGCAAGCAGAGGTGCGAGACGGTTGGTCAGTTCGTTGTTATCACTATTTCAGATTTGGATTCCAAGTTCCAAGTTTATGTCTCTCATCAGCTTGCTCAGCTTAAACCAAAGTGACGTTGATCAATCGCCGGGAAGTGTTCTAGAGGGACCAAACGGGCTAATGCCGGGCTTGCTGGTCATTGCAACTGGTAATGCAGGCATGCGTCGAAGTTCTGGTGTCTAACTTACTCAAGCAGGAAGTAAGACATGAATTCCCAGGCTCATCACGGCTGCTCATGTTCCTATCACGGCCTTTGTTGGCAATCATGGCCACCACCAATGGCTCCGACGTGACGCCTTTGCGGCACGAGGCGGAAAGACTTCGAGGCTCAGTGGTGTGTCCACTACCTTGCCTTCGAGGCGCATCCGACACTTCAAAGAGTTGGCCGCTCGAAAAAGGGCCGTCGCGTCCGTTACCGAACTTTTATGCTTTTTTGATGTCTTTTGATCCCAGACTTCTGCAGAATCAGCAACTCAAGAGGGAAGCAGAGGGTGAGGTGATGTAGATGTAGAGCCATTTGCGGTCTCCTGTCTCAGTTGGCTGCACTGAGTGTCTCCAAACCAACGCAGGTTGCCAAACTTTCTGACATCTTACGGACTGGGATCCAGACCGAGAGGCCAGATGCGGACTTTTTGAGTTTGAGAGACGGTCCTGAGCAGTGCTACCAGCCAGTTTGGAAGGAAGGCTTTTCAAACCTGTTCAACATGGTGACCCTCACTAGGTCAACCCAAGAAGCAGCAAACATTGAAGTTACAATCGCTTATTTTGCGCAGTCTCCAATGGTAGCAGGGCTTAGCAGACTCAGATGTCTGGCGAATCTGTCAGCATCTCCGTTCCCAGTACAGATAGAGGCGTGCTGGACAAGTCGCAACCCACAACCACAATCTCCTGCTTGTTGTTGCTTTTGTGCTGTGTTCTTTTTTGTTGAATTTGCAAAAACTGTGAGCACAAAGAATGGATGTTAAATGCGTAGCGAACCCGCACCTACTGACACTAGTCCATCAGCGCCCGCAAACATGACATAAGCAAAAGACACCTCATTTCGCACCTGGCTTTCTCACCCCATTTTGCCTCCACCAAAAACTGTCTTGGGCGGCCCGTGTGGCCTTTTACGCTTGTCTACAATCTCTGATGAGCAATATGCTCAGCAATGCGTTCTCCAACGGATTGGATGGCCCTTTGAACAAACATGTGTGATTTGCGTTTGCGTGACTGACTGGGACTTGACTGATGACTGAAGTTGTTCGACATACAACGTGGAGGTGCCATGAATCTGACAGTGCTCGGCTCAAGTGGTATCACGACCGTACAAAAGACTTGGAATTTGAGGAGTGACTCACTTCTCAGGTCCAAGATTTTGTACGGTCGTGGTTTGACTAAACTGATAGATGATTTGTTTGGGATTGCCAGCTTGTTTATCAATGTTCCTCAGCTGGGTAACTGGGGGAACTTGGCAAATCTGATTCTTCAAAATCAGAGTGTGCATTGTGCAGTGGGCTGAACATGATGAAGGTCAGTTCAGTTTCAGTTCCCTCCTATTTCATCGAAATGCGATTGTCGCTGGCAATTGGGGAGAGTGGGAAGTGATGCCGCACACCCAGTAAAAGTCGTGTTAGTGTTCAGCTTGTCGCAAACGATACGACATGCCAAAACATGCTTGAACATCAACCTTCACTTCCACATCCAGCCTCGAACATGTTTTTTGGAGTTTGTATCCGAGGCTCGCCTTTGCAAACATGCTTGTGGCAAGCCAATGCCTTTGTTAAAACAACGTTGTGATGATTCAGTTGACGGCTTAGGCCCTTACGCCAGTACGGCCGGGTGAAACGAAAACAGCAAACGCGTTTGAGACTAAAACAGGTGGCAAGCGGGTGCGCTTTGTTTGACACATCTTTACCAACAATTGTTAATTGTTTTTGGAATCTTCTCGGCTGGCCTTTCTTGATACGTATATCGTTCTCCTGCCGAGCAATGACTCATGTAAGCCGGGCGCAGAGTAGGACCGGCACTTTTCTTGACATCCGCGCCTAAAACAGCCATCGAACCATTGACCCCAAAAAGAGCGCTATTAAATTAATTGAGGATGTATGCAAACCCTCAAAGACAGTGGGGTACAACAAATACAAGACACCTCCTTTACATGCTTTTATCCTCTTTGAAGTGTGCTTTCATCCCCTTTCGAGGTGCAGCGCCCAGGCCGTTGAGGCGCCCGGGTCAGCCCCTTGGGTCAGCAGTCACTGACAACCAGCCGAGGGGGGGCAAACTGGCAAACTTCTTGGGAACATGGTAGAGAGATAGAGATAAACTGATACAAACCTACAAACATCTACAAACAATAGATTAGAGGTTCTACTGTCAGACCTTAGGCTTTGTACTATCACTCTTTTGACCACGAATCCCATGTCTCAACATTGCTTTGATTCTATGATGAGTTCAAGTGAGCGTTGCTTGGTTCTATGTCGCTAGGAGATTGTTGAAAGCAGTCTTTAATTATCTTTGATACAGAACATGTCGAGCAGGTCACAATTCTTTGAGCATGCATATTCTTGGGATCCCAGGGAGATATCCGGACTAGCAACCCATTTGAAATCTGCTCTTTATTAATTTATTACAAGATGTTCATTACATTGGCACTCAACTGTTTTGCAGCCAAGCGTGGTGTCGTACAGGCGGCCAAGCCGGCGGTTTCCGTCTTGCCCAAGCCTCAACAATTCGAGATGACCAATGATTAGTCGCTCGTCGTGTGTTTTTCGCTCGATGATTGGACTGGAATAAATGCGAACGGCCTGTTGAAGCAGAAAAGACCAGTATCAAAAAAGCAAAGGCTTGTTTTCTCGCTACTTCAGCTGTGACAACAAAGCACCAAAATGACCAAAGGTAATTCAAGGTAATTAGGACACTTGTTTGTTGGAAGCTAGGTGTGTTCCCATTGTCTTTACTGTACCATTTTTTTAAGAGTTGTGTCTATAATTTTGCTTATTTATATATATACTATGTCAATTTTTTGGAGGGACATCACCAAATGTTCATTTTTGACGTTTGATATACAGTTGACCTTCTAGGACAATTGCAGGATTGCTCAACCGACTTCAGGGGGTGCAGTGCCGTGCAGCATGGGCATCATCGCGTGCCGTGGGGGCTCTGTCTCTCAGAGCTCTTCCGATGCGGAAGACTGCAGAGAGTCGCTGCGGGCCATTGCACACGACCTTGGTTTCAAGAAAGCCCCCTTGACAATGCCCAAGGGCTGCTTCACCGAGTTTGTAAGACCTTCTTCGGCGGCAGAGCCCAGATGTGGCCTTGTTTGGATGCACGGGCTCGGAGATACTGAAAAAGGCTGGGCAGACACTTTGAGGAAGCACTTCAGAGTACCTTGCGGGCCATGTAAGTTTATTCTACCTCGTGCACCCACACAAAGATCAAGTTGCACAGGTGGAGACTTCAGCACAAGTTGGTTTGACATTGCTGACTTGCCCGTGTCCCAAAAGACGCATTCCTTTGCACATCATGGCTGCTCTTTGGAAGAAGCGCTTTCTTCCTGCGGGCGAGTTCATGCAGCAATTGACCAACTTATCACGGAGGGCATTCCGGCAGAACGTATCATGGTCGGAGGCTTTTCTCAAGGTGGAGCAATGGCCATGCTCTCAGCAGTGACCTATCCAAAACGGCTTGGGGGAATCATTGTATTTAGTGGGATTTGTTTCTTTGGTGATTTGTTGAAGCAGTTGACATCAGCTCAGTCAGCTCATTGCACAGACCTAGCGGTGTTTTGGGGGCACGGAACTCGTGACCGAGTCCTTTATGCAGATTTGCAAGATGAAGGGGTGGAGATGTTGCAAGTTGCAGGCCTGAGAGTCACCGCAAAGAAGTATCTGGCTGAGCATGATTGTACGGAGGAGGAGCTGAAGGATGCAGTCGCTTTTTATGCGGCAAACCTGAAGTGATTCTCAGAGAAAGAGTGTTATCATGATTCTGAACTGAATGCTTCCAGAGTAGTTCCAACCAGTTCACTTAGGCCAGATGTTCCGCTCATGCAAAGTTGATGTTTAAACCTAAGTTGCCTTGCTGCAAAAAATACTTGTTCGCTGTGCGGCAAGCAAAGTTGCATCGGGAGTTCCTCTCATAGAGCTTCCCTCTGATGTCATTGTGGGATCTTCGACCACTTGATTTCTTTTTATTTCAATATTATAGTATTGCATCGTGTCCGAAGCCACATCTGATCTGGAATAGATGAGTGGTTATTAAGGCTTCGCCATGCGTTTTGGAGTCTGTTCAAAAGAATGAGCCACAACAGCAACCTAAGGGTCCCCTTTGTAAATGATATAGAGATTCAAGTCTCTACTCGGGCTTACTTGGGGATTCACTGCACGCCTTCCGAAAATGCTATAGTGAGGTGCTTCATTTAGGGGATGGTGTTTTTTCCAACAGTAACCGGTGTATTTCCAGACAGTTGCACTCATCGGTGTTTTTCCAACCTGTGGCTGGTGTTTTTTGCGACGGTAAGCTGCCCACCAGTGTGTTTTGCGTCAGTTGTTTGGTGTTTTTTGCGACATAACTGGTTACTGTGTTTCTTGTGACAGTAGTAGTAGTAGTAGTAGTAGTAGTAGTAGTAGTAGTAGTAGTAGCTAATAAAAATAGTAGTAGCAGTAGTAGCAGTAAGTAGTAGCTTTTGTGGTTGTGCTTGTCGTACTAGTAGTGCTAGTGCTAGTGGTACCTGGACCTGGAGTACTAGGAGTACTACTACTACTACTACTACCACTACTACTACTACTACTACTACTACTACTACTACT